ATAAAACTAAAAATTAATAATGCCACATGGAAATCATCACAATTAGAATAACAATACAACAGACATGTTACACAGAGTAACGAGTTATATATTCTCAGACAAGATTTTGAGTGTTGGTGCGTCAATAAATAACAAACATAAATGCAAATACTAATGAGTCGAAAAGACACAGCAGTAATCTATAATACATACTACTAGTTTGTGTTCACTTAACAAAAAAATCACATACATTCACAAGTTAACGAGTATTCGCTAATGCTACTAACAAAATAACTGATACAGAGAAAACTCGAGAATGGAACCTCGTCTCCCACTTCTCATTTGTGTGTGTGTGTGGGGGGGGGGGGTGCGTGTGTGTGAGTGAGTGAGTGTGAGAGTGAGTGTGTGTGAGTGAGTGTGAGTGTGTGTGAGAGTGAGTGTGAGTGTGTGTGAGATGAGTGGAGTGTGTGTGTGAGAGTGAGTGAGAGTGAGTGTGAGTGTGTGTGAGAGTGAGTGTGCGAGTGTGTGAGAGAGAGTGAGCGAGTGTGAGTCATTGAGTGAATGTGTATGTGTGTGTGTATTATATATATGTGTGTGTGTGTCGGTCGGTCCGTGGATCCGTCTACCTGTGTCTAATGCGTGAGTATGTTCAGTGGAGCAAAGAGAAATTGCTCGCGGGTGGAGTCTATTGGTGGTGGGTTGATTAAGCGACAATGACATCACATAACGGTGTGCAAACTCATTACTCTTTTATTGAGACAGTGTTGATATCTAAGATAACCGTGACCACTAAGTTATTTCAAATATATAACAGAAACCAATGGAATGGCAATGATACACGGTCAGTGCAATTATCATGATGGAATCGGCTCGGTCGTGTCTTCGCAAGCCACTGCAAGTGACTGAGAACCACTGAACCAAGCGACCGCGTACGCCTTCATCCTGCCGGTTAACTAAGGCAACCCAGACACAAGCATGAGCTAATGGTAATCTTCGTCCCCATCACTAGTGCGTGTTCCCTCCACCACCAACCGCCACCACAAGCCCTTATTACGCCAGTATAAGTACAATTACGGCATTCTATTGCAGCTTCTTGGTCATTTCGCATCTTATGCGAAATCTAAGAAGCTTTTGTAATATTTCTTTAGTATACATGTTGACGACGCTGGCGACCCCCAGAGTTAAAGCCTGGCCATTACGGTGCACTCCTTCACCCTTACCCCACCAAGGACTTCTCCAACAGACAAATTGCGGGACTGTTGCCTCTCAAGGGAGCAAGGGAGGGATGTCATTGGTGTGCACACAAGATGTTAACATTTTTGGGATGTACCTCGAGATCCACTGCACACACAGACACCCTCTCCCACTTTTCAGCTATGAGCACTTTGCCTACGGTTGACCAGCGAGGGAGAGCACAGAAGGCAGGGCTTCTAAGGTCTGGAACTTCGGCCCACAGCCTTTTGTCAGATAAGGCGCTCTTCTTCACTATTTCTGTTGCCAGAGGGATGCTGATGCCGCGGTGGAGAAGGAGGGGCTTCTCCCGGAGAAGGGGGGCGTGCGCGATTTGCCTTTGGGGAGGGAGTACCTGGCTGACTTAGGTGGCCAGGCTTGGGGGGTCGGGGCGGCGCTGGCGGTGGAGAGAATCTTGGTGGCGTTGTAGGCGGGGAAGGCAGATCACTTGTGCGGTGATCGCGGTGATGAGAAAAGGAATGGTGATGTGACATATCAATAGAGTCAGGAGTGTTGGCGCGGGATACAGAGAGGAGTGTGTCGGTAGTACGCCTGGAGACACGGCCCAATGTGGAGGCTGGGGGTATAGGGTCACCACTCAGGTACTGCCCATGTTGCCGAAAGATATTGTCGAACTCCAGAAACACTTCATTCTGTACATTGTCACGACTGAAAGACACCTGGCTTTGGGATCGTTGCAATTCTTCTCCATGTGTGCCTTCATCACCCTCTGCTTCTCGTTTATCCTCTTGATGTTGGCGAGACCTGCGGGTCTGATACTGCTTTAGATCTCGACTTAGATGATCACCAAGCTCCTGGGAGGTCATAGAAGTCACTGGAGCAGCTCCACGAGAAGCCACAGTATCATCAAGCTCCCGGGAATGGCCTGTGTAACATGAAGGGTCTCGTGAGTCATCTTCATCATAGTGCGTTGTGCGGTCCTCTGCCTCGCTGTCGGTTGTGCATGGTTCACGCTCACTATGCCCTAGGTGGTCATTGAGTTCCTCACTCTCCAGTGAAGATACCACATATCGGGGACGTCTTCCACTATGCATCCTCTCCTGAGCATCCTCTTTTCCTGTCTTTTCTGCTGTATAGCGATGCTCTCTTGAAGACCGGTGCTTCAATTCCTCACTTTCCATGGATGATTCTGTTCTGTATCTAAAGGACTCTTGTTGGTGTGGAGTGTGTAAAGGGTGAGTAGGCCTGCTGGAGGAGGAAGTGGGGTGTGGATCTCTCCCATGGTAGTGGCGAGGGATGTAAGCTAAGTCTTGAGCTGCAGTCTGGCTGAATCACAGAAGCCCGATATTCCCCATGAAGCCATGATCCACGGGGTTCCTCACTTTCTGAATGTGTCCAGCTCTTGACTCACCAGCAGTCCTAGCTCCCCCACGCCCTTGCCGCGGAGAGGAAGAACGTGAAGAGGTAGAAGACTCTGACGTGAGAGACAGAAGATCACGTGTACTACCAGTCTTGTTTTTCTCCCTCTTTAGATCATGAACATCTGGCAGAGTCATGTTGGAGCGCAGCTTTCCAGAACCTAGATGATGTTCATGACGTCCAGTAAACCACGATCCTAACTTATGTCCTGACTCACCCCCTAAAGTAAGAGTGTACTGCCAGCATCAAGCCGAGAAGAGTCCTCAATTGAATTCTGTTCTGTGAGTCTGGTACGTGTACGTATTTGGCGGGATCCACAAGTCTTCTTAAATCTGATAATGACAATGATACCTGCCACAGAGAGTAGGGCTAAACCACAGCAAGCACCAATTAGTACATAAGCCATGAACTTAGCATTTTCTACCTCCTCTTCAGGTGTTAATTTCTGCACTGACCTGATCTATGCTCGTATCAAAATTATTCCAATGAAGCTCAGTCAAGTCATTCTTTATGTTGGGGTGTTCTGTTGGCGAAATAGGCACAGCATCATAGAAAAGTGAGGTGAGATTCAGGTTATCCTCAGATGCAGTCTCTGAAGTATCAAAAAGCTCCGGTGCTAGTGGGATCAACTGAATGTTATTCCAAAGATGGGATACAGCAAGATCATTGCTACCAAAATGTACCTCAGCTGGAGGAAGTGGTTCTGATGGGGAAGGGGCAGATGGAAAAGATGGTGCTGATGGCGGAGGATGAGCAAGATATGGATTTCCCCTCTGACTAGTAATGGGAACATCATAATAGTCATGGTCATCCATAAATTCTGTGTCTGGTTCTTTTGTGGTGGATTGGACCCCTATTTGCGTGCTGTTAATACTGAGAACAGTACTATTGGCCTCCGCAAGTGCTGCTGCCATCTGATGATTCTGTAACAACATTTGAAGGTCACTTTGTTCCTGCTCACTCAGAGTTGGAGAAATTTCAGGCTCGAAGGAAACAGACGGGCTATAAAGGCCATCATGGTCATCAGATGCATTGGTTTCATTTGTAATAGCAGAGGTATGTGAGGCCTCTTGATTGTGCAAAGTGTCTGAATCACTACTGCCCGATTTTACTTCACTAGATGACCCAGTTTTCAGGAGGCCATCCCTTCTCAGCTGCTGGTCGTAGTAGTCTTGATAGTCATAGTATTCTAGGATGTAATCTGGTAGAAGTTCTTCATAGTATTCATGATTATGGTAGTTTGTATCACTACTGTTGTCATGAGATGCTGCATCAGGATATTCCTCATATATTAGGGGGTAATCCTTCGGACTCTGAGCTTCACCTTCACCAATTACCACATTGCCAGTTGTGGAAGCAGATTCAATCTGGTAGTGTACTTTGTCCATGTGATCTTTTTGGGGTGATTCTTCGTGATGCATGGATGGCCCACCTGACTGTACCTGTGCAGGTGAAGCCGCAGCAACTGAGTCTTTTTTTGGCGGTACAGAAACAAATACAGGCACTGGAATTGGTCCTGCTACTGATAGTCCGCTTGGATTCACAGAATTAGGCAAAACATTTGGTGTTTCTTGGTCTATGGGTTTATGAGGTACATAAGATACAGGTGGAGGGGGTGGTGTAAAGGTTGGTGAAAGAGAAGTAACAATAGCTGTCGGTAAAGCACGTGTGGGAATCCTGGTGGCTGGAGGAGTGAGCTTGGTGACAGGGGGTGGAGGAGCAGTTGGGGGACGTCGAGGTAGAAACATATGTCTGTTTAATGGCCTCTGCCTCACTGGAGGGCCCTTCTCTGGTCTGGAATGAGGTCGAGCACCAGACAAAAAGGACGAGAGAAATGATGGTAGCCTTGGTGGAATGTCGTGTGCCTGAGGCTTGGCTGGAGGCTGCATTCTCTGTGGTTTGTCATTACCAAAAAATGGCAAGTTTGGGAGGAAGTCTGGGAATGACATTTCAAGCCCAGGTGTCCCATCTTTCTTGGTAATAATCTGTGGCAGTTTGGCCTGCTTTAGGATATATGATGGTGGGATGAGCACTGATCCTGGGGGAAGGGCCTCCAAGGCATCTGGAGGTGGCATCTCCAATCCTAATCTCAGCTTGTCAAATGGCAGAGGATGTTGCGATGCACCTTGGGAGGGTTGTGGGGCTTGTGGATGTGATTTTGATTTACCATCATGATTAAGGCTAGAACCCAGTACTACCTCAAAGTTCTGGAAAGGTGGGGCTGTTATTACATCCACATTTTCATCTCCTCGTAATCCATCGGATGGTTTTCTGGGCAAGGAACGGGTAGGCAGCCATGCCTGGTCACTGTACCCTGAAGCAACTGCCTGCACAGTTGGACTGGGGCGTAGCTGAGCACGTGCTGGCCCTATGGTTGGACTCTTCTGTGGTGGAGACAAGAAAAATGGGTGATAACCATTGGCTGGTTCATCCCGTAATGGCAGCTTATCCTTGTTCAGCATCAAGAAGTCTGGTGTCATTGATGGAGAAGGCAGATGATTGGGACTGTTTAGTTTGGTATTTGGGGAAGCCCCCATGCGATCTGTCTTGATCCCTTGGTGAGCTGCCTCAAGAGGTCTGATCAAAAGGCTGTAGATAAGCTTCATGGCATTTTGATCTAAGCTACCAAAGTTGCTTATAAGATCTCCAAGGAAGGCATTCTGAAAGCCATCACTGTTTGCTATATCTTTCAGAAAGTTAGCCATATCTTGATAGGTAGTGGACCCTGACTCTTCATAGCGTGGTGTATGATTGCTTGATGCATCCAAGAAATGCTTGTTTGCTGCATCACCTAAGGCCCCCAGTTCCACTACCAACTGGGTGAAGTTACTAGAAGACCTCTCAGAAGTGGCTGTTGGCTCAAGTTGACCTTCATCGTTCCCTGGGATTTCTGTGCTGGCAAAATCATCCACATCTACAGAGTCTCCAGCCTTATTATCATTTGAGTCTCTGCACTTCTCTGAACCCTCTTGTAGAGCCCCACAGTTCTGTAATAGTTTATCCTGAGAAATGTTGAGAGTTTTTTCACCATCACTGGAATATTTGACTGTCTCTTCATCATTGAGTAAATAGCTACCAACTGGTTCTCCTTCACCATCTACTTCCTCAGTGCCTTTGTTTTCTGGATCTGTTTTGTTACCAATTTCGGCATAACCAGTATGAATGTCGATCAGTGTACTGTTTTCATTACTATCGCTTATGGTTTCATTACTTGGAGAACAGCAGACTTTGATGAAAAGGTCTGGACGCCACTGTGCCACAGGATGGGAAGGGGGAGGCAGATCTTTGAGGGGCTCATAGCTGGGGGGAGGAAGGTTGTCTGGGTGAATGATGTACGACACCCCTGACAGACTCTGCCGCTGCACATCAACGATTGCTCGGGGACCTTCTTCCAGCTTCTCATCCGCATGAGTTCTCGTGCTTCCATCATTCTGATCAGTTATCCCTTCAGGTGAAGCTGATACTTCAGGATGCCCAGCTACAGAATTGCCTTTATTGGAGTTTTCTGTTGACGTGTCTCCTTGAAAATTATCATCAACTTTTAGAGAGGTGAGTGTGGACGCGGATTCCCCTGAAACAAGGGCACTGAGGTCAATGTTAGGTCTGGGATCAAAGCTGTAATGCCTAGGAGGGAATCTGGTGTCCAAATGCTCCGAAGAGGAAGTTGTGGATGAAAAGGCATTAGAGACAGCCTCGGTGTCCCTTCTGCTGGAACATAATATTCCCGATGTCACCAGCAGGAGTACAAGGATCCCTTGCTGAAGAAGGGCGCAAACACTATGCATGGTTACAAGATCACTGACACATGGCAGGTTATAGAATCCTGGGCGGCGCTGTCGCACTTTTAGTTTATTTATTTTTTCTTACGCTATTTCCTTATCTTCATCTATGTCTCGCTCCTCATTTCTTATCTAATTTTTTTTATTTATCTTAACTTCCAACTTGGAAATCACTATCAAGTGCCTTTCTCTTTCAATTATTCCGTACCATCCAACACTTAACACACCAACACACAGTTATCGGCGTTTCAAAAGAAAAGTACGAATTCCGAACGAAGACTCCCACTAAAGAGCACAGAGCGAGTGCTGCCAGCAGACTCGGTAAGGTGCTGCTGCTCCGGTGCCTCAGCGCCAACTGACAGCCATTCTCCACGAGCCGGGCTACATGGGGAAGGGGAGGGGGGGGGAGCGAAGAAGAAAAGATCCAAGACGAACAGACGGCAAAGACGGTCAGGCAGTGGATTCTCTTCCGTGTCCACGTTTATGTATCCGTGTATGTATCTATATATTTGTATGTATGTATGTATGTATGCATGTACGTATGAATATATCTACTTACCTACCAATCTATATGTGCGTGCGTGCGTGTGCGTGTGTGTGCGCGTCTGCATATATATATATTATATATATATTATTATATATAATATATTATATATAATATATATATATATATTAATATTATTTATTATTTATTTATTTATTTATTTTATTTATTATATTTATATGTAATATATATATATATATATATATATATATATAAGTATAGTATAGTATAGTATAGTATAGTATAGTATAGTATAGTATAGTATAGTATAGTATAGTATAGTATAGTATAGTATAGTATAGTATAGTATAGTATAGTATAGTATGTATAGTAGGTATAGTATAGTAAGGTATAGTATAGTAGGTATAGTAGGTATAGTTTAAGTATTATAGTATAGGTATAGTAGTATAGTATAGTATAGTATAGTATAGTATAGTATAGTATAGTATAGTAAGGTATAGTATAGTAAGGTATAGTATAGTAAGGTATAGTATAGTAAGGTATAGTAAGTATAGTATATAGTATATATAGTATATAGTATATATATATATATATATATATATATATATATATATATATATATATATT